TTTTATTTTTATTTAAAGTGCTTGCCAACTCATTAGTGGTGCTTTAAAGCACCACTTTTAATGGGATGTATCATTACCCATAAATAAATTATTATAAATCAATGAAATCATGAAAATTGTGTTCTTGTGGCACACTTCTTACTTGCATCAGACACATGTCTCACCTTTACTCTTAGTTTTATTTTTCTCATTTCCTTTTATTCTAGAAAAAAAAAATGACAATTCATTATACGAGATTCTCGTTAAAGTGAAATTTGGAGAGGATAATATATATGCAATCCTACTCTAATATTCATTTGTTGAAAACTTGATGTATATTATTAGAACCATATATGCACTAACTTAATATTGCTAGAGGACAGTTTCAATAGCTTAATTAGATGAGACCATCAAAAAAGAATCCAAGTCAAAGCTTGAAACGCTGAACGAAAAAAGAAAGGGAAAAAAAAAATTCAATACACCAATTTTAGCCTTTTGTAAAAAGAAAATAATATGTAAATAAAATTTTTAAAAATTTCATCTAGAATGTTGTGGCATTAGTTTTTTTTTTTTTTAATATTATGAGTTCAATTGATGAGGTTTTTGTTTTTTGTTTTTTTTTGGGTATTATTTAGTGGTTGTTTGACATATGCTAAAATAACACATGTTATTTTAGCACATTATCTTATTTAGATTACAATCATCTTATTTAAATCACATCACCTCTCTATCATATCATTTCAAACCCAATCTATATTTCATTTCCTTCTTTCTTTCTTTCTTTTTTTTTTTTATTTTAAAAAGTCAAAAAGTATACTAATTTAGCATTTCCCAAACATCGCCTTAGAAATGAGAACAAAAAAAATATATACAAAAAAATTATTTGTATGGGTCTGTTTGGGAAGATGGTTTGCGGCTAAAACAGTCATAAAAGACAAAATATGCTATTTTAGCCACAACAAACAAAACATCACATCCAATCCATAATTATTACACTATTCTCTCACAAAAAAAAGTCAAAAAAACCAAAAATTCTTTTCAAATCAAATTTTTTAACCCAAAATCAAAAAATTAAAAAGTTAACCCACTTCTCAAACTAATTCTATGTTAAAATTACAAGGTAGTGTCATCATGTGGTCAATTCAAAGTGATCTCGTTGGTTAAAATTACAAGGTGGTGTCATATGAAGTAAAGAAAATATAAACATCAATCATAACATGTCAGACTGGAGGTGGATTGAGGGAAAAAAAAAAAACGGTTCTGCTTCATACACCCAGTGGAGTCGCGCCCCCAGTGACGTGGCGCGCCTCCACTGGTCGAAAATAAAAAAATAAAAAAAAAAATTGTTTTTTTCGGACCAACCCTCAGCTGACACCTCACTGGGTGTCACCCCCAGCTGGGGTAAAATGCATTTTCCAAAAAAAAAAGATGAGGAAAAAAAAAAAGAAGGTAAAATATAGGAAAAAAAAAATCAAATCAATGGGAAATAGAGAAACCAATTATAAAAATATAGAAATATAATTGAGTTTAAAATTATGACCTTATTAGAGAGCAGATCTCACCTACACATCTGTACTTTTATAATTTTTACTTAATTTCTTTTGATATATATATATATATATATATATGATGGTAATGACCTAAACTCAAAATACAATAAAGTACTACAATATTCTCTCACAAAAAAAAGTCAAAAAAATCAAAAATTCTTTCCAAATCAAAATTTTTAACCCGAATTAAAAAAATCAAAAAATTAAAAAACTAACCCACTTCTCAAACCAACTCCATGTTAAAATTACAAGGTAGTGTCGTCATGTGGTCAATTCAAAGTGATCTCGTTGGTTAAAATTACAAGGTGGTGTCATATGAAGTAAAGAAAATATAAACATCAATCAAAACATGTCAGACTGGAGGTGGATTGAGGGAAAAAAACAAAAGATGAGAGAAAAAAAAAAGAAGAAGGTAAAATATAGGGAAAAAAAAATCAAATCAATGGGAAATAGAGAAACCAATTATAAAAATATAGAAATATAATTGAGTTTAAAATTATGACCTTATTAGAGAGCAGATCTCACCTACACATCTGTACTTTTATAATTTTTACTTAATTTCTTTTGATATATATATATATATATATATGCATGATGGTAATGACCTAAACTCAAAATACAATAAAGTACTACAAACAAAAAAAAAAAAAAAAAAAAAAAACAGTCATCGGATCAAACAAAAGATTGGCAATGTTGCTCGCTCTCCTTCTTCAAAAACAATCAAGTCAAATGGATGACAAAATGTTATATGCTCAAATTTTCCCACTTAATCAAGAAGGAATCTCATCATCGGCCAAAAAATAAGATCATCATTCATAGATAAATTTTTTTTTTCTATTTTGTGGTACAGATCATTACATCTGTCATTGTCCCATTCTTACCATTGGGTAATTGTTTGTGTACAAGTCCTAATCTCCTAACCACTTCTCAAAGGACTATTTCTTTTTTAAAAAGAAAAAATTACATATCAGTGGGATTTGAAAAAAATATTTATAAAATAGTGATAAATATTAATATTAAAATTATAAGTTTCTTTTACTTTTTTTTGTGAATAATTTTTTTATTTCCCTTGATAGGTAATTCTCATTTTAAAACAATGCACACCATATGTAACTCTATACAAAATTATGTAAGTTATCATGAATTTACATAAATGATCATATAAAAATGTATAAGTTGAACACAAACTTTTATAAGTTCATAAAAATTTATGTGATTACTTAAATTTGTGTTAAATTTATGTATTTTTATAAGACTATTTATGTAAATTCATAAAAATTTATATAATTTTGTGTAAAATTATATATGCGCACCCAAGATTTTTCAAAAAAAGGATAATGCCAAAAGGAAGTCCTAAAAGCTAGTTCACCTTACTTGACTTAATTCAAAATTGATATATTTGTATCGAGTGGGAGTCAATTATAGCACCCTAGCTAAGTTTAGTGCTTGGTCCCCCCTAAAAGGCTAAAGCCACGTTTGTTTGGCTATATTGGAGGGAGGAAATTACGATTATGCGGGAATTAAGTAAGAAGATTATTAATTTGATAATATTAAATTAAACATGTAAGATGAAGAGTGTTTATTTATACACTATTGGATTAACAATACTATAGATAGTGTTAATATATAAAATTAACATTTTTAAAATTTTAGTATTTTTTAATATTATAATTATTATTTTTTTGTTCTTAAAAATATAATTTTTACTTAAAAATCATTTAAAAATTCACTAATCCCCTCACTCAATTTCTAATCCCAACCCTTCAAGGCCACGTTTGTTTGGCTAATTAGGTTGTATGAGATTGTTAGTGAGAGGATTGTTAGTAATAAGATTGTTAATATAGGGATTGTTAGTGAATGGATTAAGTAAAAGTGTGTTTGTTTTGATGATAATGTGGGAGATAATTAATGATGGGATTCTTAAATTATTTTTATATAAAATAAATAAATAAATTATTTCTATATTAAAAAAATAAAACAAATAGGTGCACTTGGTTAAAAAAATAAAAATAAAAATAAAAAATAAAACTTATATAAAATAGACTCAATTCCTTACTATTTTCCTAATCTTACCAAAAATTCATCCAAACTAATCTCCCTACTGAGGGGGATTAGCTAGCCGGTTGGAGTATCAAGCCGTTCACCCAAACCATCACCAAACGCGCTATGAGTGGGACCCACAGCGTTGCTAGTCCAATCCGACCTTCTATGCCGCGAAACAAACGTGACCAATAGCTTTGTTAGTCCTACCACATAAAGGGATTACCGGTCTAAGGAGATAGTTAATCCCCTTATGTGTTCAACTAAACACTTTAGGCAGGTCCTATAGACTGTCTAATCTCCCTTCCTCAAAAGCCAAACAAACATGACCTAAGAAAACAAGAAAGAGAAACAAAATCTCAGTGAATAGAGAATAAGCATTGAACATCTAAATGATGATAAGATGAGCAAAGAGAAGCTTTGCCTACGGAAAACATTATAACTTGATAATTTTATTTCTCATGAATATTATTTTTAATTTTTTTTCACACAATTTTTTAAATAAAAATGTGATTTGTAATATTCTAAATACATATCAAGCAAGTATCTTAATTATTTTATGGAAGGTGAGTCAATATGGGCTTATTCATAAAAGAATTATATTGAATTAGACAATTCATTCTAATGTATTAATAAATAAATAAATTAGATAATCACTATATAAGAAAGTCTAACTAAGACATGCTCAATATCAACTACCACGATAAATAATTTCAAAATAAAGACAGGTTATTTGGTGATTTTGGAGCAATGTTCCACTCTATTTACCATGTGCATTTTTTTTATTGTCCCATAAAGCACAACATAAAAATGATGGACTTCACTGTTTAAATCAAATAAAAAATAAGTTAAGATACCATATATATCTGCCCTAGTAGTAGTAAATAACCCATAATAATGTACTTGAAATCTCCATCTTTTTTTTCTTTCTTTTAGTTGTTAATAAGAAAAAGAGGCAACACAATTGAGTCTATGTAGCATTTGAATCAACAATCTCGTATCATAAAGTGACGTTACAAAAACAGTAAGTTAAAGGTCTACTTTCTAGACAATGATCTTGTTGAGAATTGACCATGATTTTTCAATTGGGAGTGTGCTGAGTTAGTCTAATTTATTGAATATACTCGAATTCACTATTTAAAAATCGTTTAAACTCACCTAAATCATAATTAAATTTCATTTTTAGGCTGTCATATGGAGACCCACTTAAATTTGGTTTAATTGGGTTGAAAATGGGTTAGATTAAGCGGGTTGCAACGAGTTGTATAAAATAAATAAATCAATATTGAATTTCTATAATAATACAAGCAAAATTTACTAAAATTAGAAAATATATAAACACACACATATATATGTATAGAACCACTTACCCATAACATATGCATAAATTAATTTTACTTTAAGAATAAATAAAAAAAGAAAAAGAAAATCTCATGTAATATTACCATATTTTCACATTGAGTAAAGTAAATTACACGGACTTTCCCTGACAAATGTGATAAATACAATCGACCCCATTAGTTCACTAAATTTCGATATTCCATTAACTCAAAGATTTTCCAAACTTTCTCAACAAAACCTATATATAATCACACACTCACACACACTCATATGCTATCCATTACAAAATCTATTAGCTACTAATTAGTGCTTTCCAAACATGACTTAAGTAGCTGTTGAAAGGCTCAGCATGATGGAAGATCTTGAGGAGGAGGTAAAATGCACTGATTAGGACCCGACCCGCTTTTCACTATCATACCCATAGCCAAACCCCATGAAGTATGTTCCTCAAGGTGACAATGGATGAACCAAACACCTGGATTATCCGCCTTGAGTCGGATCGCGGCCCACCCGCCACTTGGAACCGCCACCGTGTTCCTCTCAGGTGGGTCCACAAGATTATAAAATGCCGGGTGATTGGCTGCGTCAAAATTCCCAAATCCTTTCCCAACAATAAAAAAGTTGTGACCATGAACATGGATAGGATGGTTCTCAAAATTAAGAAGATTTGTATCTTGCAACACTATTTCCAAATTTGTACCATAGTTCACCTCCAAAAGCCTTGTCCCAAATTCTGTATTCAAGTTTACAGTTAATGGGTCCACACCGGTGTAATTAAAGGTGTGTGGCGGTTTCTCAGGGAAATTATTGTAGTACACGGTCGTAGAAAGGTTCTGGTAGTGGCATTGGAGGATTGACATTAGAGGGCGAACGAAAGATTGGTTGTTCATTGAAGCATAAAATTTTTTGCCCAAATAACCTTTACATGTTTGGTTAGCCGGGCAATCTTGAAGGTTCAAGCTTATAGTTATTATTGCTCTCTTGTCGATTATTTTGGGCACGTTACAAGGGTACACCGCGGATGCTAGGCTACGAAGATTATTTGAAAATTGTGTGGCAAAGGCCGTGTCTTCCATTTTAGGAAGGTTGTGGAGAGGGAAATTATTGGGGATTATTGGGTTAGTAATTTGTTTAGTTGTTGTGTCTCTGTATTTTAAAAAGGCGATTGTGGTCGAATTGTCGAAGGGAAATAGTGAAGTGAGATAAGGCCTTGCTGACATTACAAAAACGCCCGTTGAGTCAGGCACTTGATTCGCGGTGAGGAGAACATTGGTGGTTTGTCCCGGGGCGATCATTATGGCGGTGGTTGTGAATGGTTTTGTGTAAACTGCATCTATTTCAACCACGGTCAATGTATGGTTAGCGACAGCGAAGAAGAGCTCGTCATTGAGGGCTGCATTGATGATTCTTAGCATGTAGGTTTTGCCACGGTCGACTGTCTGGACAAAAGTATCTGCATTTTATAGACGAAGATTTTTAAAAAAGTTGGTACGAAATCTGTTTATGTACAGCGTTTTTAATTTTAATTTTTAAAAATTTTACCTTTGTTAGAGCAAGGATAGAGGGGCCCTGGCAATCCATTAATGGTGTAAGCATCTGAAGAGTTTGGGCCACTACCATACATCATCATTTCATTTTCCACTGCATCTATATCTCCATTCCACCATTCACCTGTGTAATCACAACTCAAAACATGTCAACAAACATTGTTTGATACATGATTGAGAGAGAAACAGAGAGCAAGAAGGGCACAAACTATTGCAGATTTTGAGCCCTAAGGTTGAAAACTTTGAAGGGGAATCACTATAGTCTTTTACATGGGTCCAAACCCCTTATTTTTATTTTCATTTTCCTTTTTGGACGTAGCACCATATATTCCACGAGTACAAATCTTATGTTTCATTCTCTCGAGTCCCTCAATTCTAAATCGTTTCTCTATTACACAATTGGGCCAGAGAAACCTAATTGTATAATAGAGAGAAATGTTAGACGTGAGAGAATGATACATGATTCTCGACTGTATTCAGTTTGTAATTAACAACTATTTCATTCACATAATTCTCTCTTTTTTGGTTTTTATTTTTTGGCCTTTTTGAATATTGCCCCAGTTCATGATATAAAACATTTGTCTTTTATTTTTTTTTGAAAGTTTAATAGTGATGAAGAAAATCCCCCACTACAATTCCTCTGTAAATCTTTCAGTGGTGCTAGAAATACAAAAGCAAACACAAATGTTTTACAATGAGTAGTTGTGAAATATCTGTATCTCATTCTGTATTTGGTCTCTGTGCACTTAGATTTATTGTAAATATTTTCTTAAATTCTTAATTCAAATAAAGTTGTAAGCCTTCATCTTCTGGTTTGGCCTAACAAATGAATTGAAAGACGAAGGAAATGAAGATTGGGAAATTACCAAAAATGATTGGAAAATCAGCTTGGATAGGTAGAGAGAATGGATAGGGCATGCGAGGGTAGATGATGAAGGCACCATAAACAGAAGCTCTTTGCCATGCATGATGGGCATGCCACCATAGGGTACCCCTCTGCCCAATCACTGTGAAGTTGTAGCTATAAGACTGCCCTCCTGTGATTGGGCACTGTGTTATGTATGCTGGACCATCTGCCCATCCTGTTCTTAGCTGCCTTATTCCATGCCTATCAATACAATTCGTTAGTCAATTATTATTATTATTATTATTTGAAAAAAATTCTATTTAGAGAAAGTATGGGCGAGGAGATAACAATTATTGGTATTAATGTGCCCTACAGAATTGCTTCAACCGCATCTGAAATTAAATATTTGTGTGGGATCTACTATAATGTATGCGAAATTCATGTATTGAAGTTATTGAAACAATTCCAAAAGCAATGAATGATTTTTTTTTTTTTGGAGGGGGGGAGAGTGAGAGAGACTTTGATGCTTTCTCATATTTTTTTACTTCATTTCAGAATTTATTTTTTATTTATTTAATTTTTTGTGTGTAGGTATGTATAAGCTTTAGAGCATGTAATCGCTGAAATGTAAGAAATCTACCTCATTCTAAAAGCCTCCATAATTCAACAATAGAATATAATTTTCTAGTAAATTTGACTATTATTTGTCCTGACTTTTTTTATATTTTTGTCATGTATTAATATAATGAATTACAGGTAGGATCCATTATAACAATACCACAATAGCACAAATATAAAATTATATATATCTATCTAAAAAAAAATAATTTATATATATAGTTTTTGATAATCACCATTTAAGTCCCACTATGGAAGTTGGGGGTATCGGAAACTTGGGCACTCTGGCTATGACTAGTTTTTTTTTTTTTTAGCCGCCACTATCAAAAAAATAAAATAAAATAAAATGAAAATGATTTGGTTGTTCTATCATCTTTTCCATTCAACTTAATATTATTGTTACATATAATTAAATAAAAAGTAAATAAATCTCTAATAAATGCAAATATAAAAACAGTGAGATCTATATTAATAAATATACATCTTATCAAATTTTTTTTGCTCATGGGACTAAAAAAGTGGATTGACAAAAATGTGTTTGTGTATAATATTTTTTCTTGTTGATATAATATTTTTTCTTGATGATATGATAGGACTAAAAACCAATAATATTGCAAGTTTCTACTAAATATTGAGTTGGATTACCTTCAACTTTTGAATTCGTGTGTATTCGATATCTAAAAATAAATAATTTGACTGTTGAATCTATATGAGGACTAGTTATGATATTGACATCTAAACATTTATAGTGTGTTGATTTTTAAAAATATATTGTTGAAAGTTCTTCAAAATTGATCATAATAATTGGGAAGTGACATGATTGCTTGGACTATGGAGTTTGGACTCGAGGGCCAATCAAACCATTCTAAAAAAAATTTTATAAATTTTTCCAAATTCATCATGGACATAAAAGTTCAAAACATATCCTACATGTTTTAGCAATTTTGAATTTTTTTGATAAGTAGCAACTTTGAACTTTTTCTTGAATATTACAAATAGAAATTCAGACTGAAAATTTTTCTCCAATCACATTTACCTACCAAATTTGATAGGATTGGCAAGAGTTGTAATGGAATGGGCATAATTTGGAAGGTAGAGTCACATGGATGCCCATTATTCTACTAGATAGTTTTGTTGTTCAATAATGATACAGACCACTAAAACATCATCACTAACATCACCACTAATGATGTGGCAAGCCAAAAGAAAAAAAAAACAAAAAATTAAGACACAAAACACATGTGGCAGTGGGTCCACATCCCTAGTGAAACCACTAATTAGTGGTCTGCATCATTTTTCTTTGTTGTTTCCCCATCAAACTACGACAGAATACTGTTCAAAAAAAAAAGAGAAAAAAAGACTACGACAGAATGCCGCGTGCTGGTCTATTATTGCAAGATCAAGGGAATATAATACAGAGTAATCAAGTTGTTTGAAATCAAGAATATTTTCGTTTATTCTTTTATATTTTTATTATTATTTTCATGACTTGAGACGAGTCTTGGAGTATTAATTCAGTGCAATTAAGATACATTATATAAGAAGTTATTTAAAATGATTTAAATAAGTATATTTTTTGTTTTTATAAAATGATATGCAGAAAAATAGAAAGGTGATATGATTTAAAAAAAATAAAAAGATAAAAAAATGTGCTAATATCCAACATGTCAAACAAGCTCTAGATATGGACAAGTCACATAAGAACACATTGGCATGTAAACTTAAGGTCTCATTTGTCAACTATATATTTTAGTTAAAAAGTCAAAAAGTCAGTATAAGTTATCACATCACTCTCCTTACTTTTTTACAAGTCTTTTCATAAAAAATAAAAAAGTTATTAAAATAGCATGTTCTCAAATGAGACCTTAGTGTTATACTTGGCATCGTTTAGGAACATGCTATTTTAGTAACTTTTTGATTTTTTAGCTAAAATATGAGATAAAAAAATTAGTATGTTTGTGATAACTTTTTAATTTTTTACAAAACGATGTGCAAAAAGTAGAGAGAAAATAAAATTTTTGACTTTTTGATATAGATTGTTGGCTTTTTTATTTTTTTAGTGACTTTTTAACTAAAAAGTGATTTTGCCAAACGAAGCTATCTCACACTTTCACTAAAATGCACTTTTACTAAAATCCCATTTTAGTTCGTTCACTTTCAATTATAATATCTTTTACACTTTAAGTCAAGTTAAAATATCACTTTTTCATCCATCTACCATTAACAAAGTTGAGGAATTTGTCTTTTAAAGCATATGGAACATTTTTTTTTTCTCATCAGTATCATTACACTTTTATTAAAATTTTACTTTAATCCTTATACTTTTATCAAAATCTCATTTTAGTTCATTCACTTTCAATTTTCGTTAGCTTTATTAATAGTAGATGGACGAAAGTGTGAGATTGAAATTTGATTTAAAGTGTAAGGGATTAACTGTTACAATTGAAAGTGAATGGACCAAAGTGAGATTTTAATAAAAGTGTAAGGGTATTGGCAAGTTGAAAAAAAAATCAAAAGTTACTCAAAAAGTTAAAAAGTTATCACTATTCACCAAAATTCAAAAATTACGGCTGCACAACTCTCAATCCTAATTTTCCCCTACATACTAATTTATACAATTTTTTAATACACATTTTCCCATAAAAAGTCAAAAAGTTAACCCAAACATTCATATTTTTTTCCTCTATTTTTTAATTCAAAAAGACAAAAAGTACACTTGTTTAGGACACCCCAAATAACCCCAAGTATAATTTACCCAAAAACTAGTCATATGGATAGTGTCTTATATTGTTTGTTTTTATGTTTTCACACAAATGTATTAGTTTGAGATCTTTTAACTTTATTAAAAAAAAAAATTAGTGTAATTATGTCAAAATTATAAGATTTGCAATATTTACTCTAAATCTCAAAATATAATTTATCATAAATAAATAAATAAATAATTGAAATCATTTGTCGGCATTTTTTAAAATTCTCTCTCTCACTCTATTAGCACTGTCATGTCATTATAATTAAAATCTAATGCAATTTTCTATTCCAAAAATTATTAATATATTTTCACATTTAACAAAAGAGCTAGATAATATGACAGCACTCATATGCCAATTTAATTATAGGAGAGAGCATGTCACAATTTTTTAAAAGACAAAATGAGTGCATGACCATGTGATGTGTCCTTGGAGGAGCAAACGAACGCTCTAAAATTCTTGATACCAGATCATTTTTTTTCTTTTTTTTTTTTTGGAAAATTATATTGATAGGAGTTATATTTTGGCTCTAATATTAATTTAATTCTTATAATTTCAATTGATTTAATTTTGACTTTTAATTTTTATTTTATCTCAATTCGGTTTAATTGTTTATAATCATTAGTATTTTTTTTATAAAAAATGTGCACACGAACGTCATGCGTTATACCTTTAGGGGGGAAAAAATATAAATTCGATCAATTCAGTGAGTTAAACTCAACAAACTCAGTGATTATTTTGGTCAAAAATCTTAACATTGTTATCAATTAGACTAAATTGACATAAAATCTAAATAAATATATGATCAAATTTGAGTAAGATAAAAGTGTAAGGACTAATTGTACAAGCAATAGAATGTGGGGACTATAAGTATAATTTTCCTTTTTGTTTTCTAAGGTAGAAAGAGAGGATAGAGGAACCTAAGCAAAAACAAGAAGAATGGGAAGAAGCAAACATGCATGACTTTGTAAAAGGAAAAAAGAAACACACCAATGGATAGTTGTGTTCCTGGCAGCAAGGTTGGTAACCTTAACCACAACATTATCACCTTCATGGACAGCAATGGTTGGCCCTGGATACTTCCCATTCACTGTTAGAAGTGGCTTTCTATGGCACAACCTGCTCACTTCTGTCCACTCTAGCTGGGGAAAAAAAAATAAGAAAAAGAAAAATCACAACCATATTTTTAACAACAAACAGACTTCAATTCACTCTATATCATTTTTATAATTACATGTATATGTGTGTGTGTGTGTGTGTGTGTGAGAGAGAGAGAGAGAGAGAGAGAGATAGAGAGAGTTCCATTAATGCATGTGTATGTATGAGAGTGATGAGAGAAAGAAATTATTAGCTTACATTGAATTGAAAACTCCTGGTTATTTGTGAAGCATAAGAAGATTGAATCCCAACAAGTATTGACAATCCTACTATTAGCAACCCATAGAAACTCCCCATATTCACCATCTCAAGGTCTTGAAATGTCTTAGAGCTAAACTTGTCAATATGTTCTACCAACCCATGTCACACGCTACCACCTCTATATATAGGACAAGTTTTGATTTACCACTAACTTTATTCAAATATAATAATCTAAATATTTAAACCATTAAAAAATTGAGTAACTACATTAGATATGTATATGTTTAACACATCCCTCGTGTAATGAAGTCAGATATTACTTTATCATTAGACCAAATACGTTCAATTATTATATTTATCAAATATTCAATGAGATTCAAATATATCAACTATTGTCTTTTTTGATACCTTTTTCAACTGTGAATCACAAATTCATAATGTATAAAATTGTAACACAACATTAAAATCTAAAATTGACAATCAATGATCAATATTGTTATGTCAATTTGAATTTGAAATTGTCCCTTAATTATTTTTAAATTAGATTATGAAAATAGACTTCTCCATTTTTTTTTTTTTTATGCAAGGGACAGGACCTGGATTCCCTAAATACATGCAAATATTATATTTATCAAGTATACAGCGAGATTCAAATACAAAATTTATTATCAATTCTGATAAGTGGCGGCTCAAGGGGTAAGGAATTTAGGCGCTCACCTAGGGTCTCAAGTAGAAAAGGGCCTCACTTTTTTATTTTATTTTATATTTACACCGTTGGAGATGGTCTAAATACATGCAAATATTATATTTATCAAGTATACAGCGAGATTCAAATACAAAATTTATTATCAATTCTGATAAGTGGTGGCTCAAGGGGTAAGGAATTTAGGTGCTCACCTAGGGTCTCAAGTAGAAAAGGGCCTCACTTTTTTATTTTATTTTATATTTATTACTATATAATGTATATATTCATAAAAGAACTTAAATATGAAATTTCTCTGCAAATAAATAAAAAATAATTAAATCTTAAATTATCAAAAAAGAATGGAGTCTTACTCTATCTGTAATCTTAGATACTCAGCCAAATCAGAAAGAGGACTAAACAATATTTCTCATTAGATACAAAAAGGGTATATCATCATTACTTTTACATTAAAAAATTCTCTTTATCAAAATTATTTTAATTGGGAAAGCTGGGAATATTGTTATAAATTTTTTATAATTGTGAAAGTTAAGAATATTGTTATGAATTTTAAATAAAAATTACCGTAAAATTTTTTTTAAAGATTCGAATTAAAATCTCAAAAATGATTTGGACCCCCACATGGGAGGCACTCCCACGATCTTCTCTGGCTGTAATTGGCCAATTGTTTTTTTTTTTTTTTTTTCAATCATCAACCCTCACGTGTGTGTGAGGATAGCGATTGGAGGGGACTTAATCACTTCTCTTAAAATTTTCACATTGAGTGTAAAATAAGATTAAACCGCCTCTGACTTTAATATTATGCATGTTTATTCATTATTGACGTCGTAGATTTTAAAAAAAAATTCTTTCGTTTGTCATAGATGAGACAGCATTGCTGTGAGAGAAAGGTTGGTAGAGAGCCAACGAACGTGTAAAGTTGAGATTTAAAAAGAAATTAAAATTAGAGTGGACTTTGTTTGAAAGCTTGACTATGATATCTATCTATCTATCTATACTATTATAAAGTGAACACATAATATGGTGTCCTGAAGCTTGCTTTACTCTCCTCATGCCATGTGGCAGTCTTTTTTATTTTTTTAAAAAAAAGTTAAACAAAGAGATGGACAAGGCTTGAACCCATGACCATGGGTTTAAGTATGAAGACTCATACCACTTAAGCTAAGTACACATTATAATATTAATTTCATTATTATTTTCTTTTATTCCTCTTTATTTAATTTGCACACACATCGTGTGTGCCCAACCGCTAGTATATATATCTATTATATATATTTTGGTTACAATTTGAAAAAAAAAAAAAAGAATGTTAAAAAGCAGTCTTTAGAACTGTTAAGTTGGTGTTGAAAAGTATACAATAATATTTGAGATACATAAAAATAATAGAATAAATTATAAATATACCTTTTAAAATTTACTTAAAATACGAATTATTCTTATGATTTAAAAAATTATAAATATCTTTTTGTCAGAATTTTTTATTTAACAAAATTAATTAAAAAGGTAAATTTTTTAATTGTTTACATATACAATAATAAAATTATCTGAATTATTAATTGAAATAAAATTTTGACATTATTAAAAATTATTAATTAACTTGATAATTTATTAACAAAAAAACTTATTTATTATAAAATCAAAAACTATAGTTATTTAACAAAATTAATTAAAAAGGTAAATTTTCTAATCGTTTACATATACAATAATAAAATTATCTAAATTATTAATTGAAATAAAATTTTGACATTATTAAAAATTATTAATTAACTTGATAATTTATTAACAAAAAAATTTATTTATTATGAAATCAAAAACTTTAGAGACCGTAATGTAATTTTTAGAATTATCAAAGATTTTACCATTTTTGTAATTTATCAAAGATTTTATTAAAATTATAAATATTTTACCATTTTGTGTTTTCTTTATAGTCGGACCCATAAGCAAAAGTCACTCTCAAAAAACAAGAAAAGGGACATGGGCTTTAAATGCAGCCAAAATGCATAATTAAATTCAGACTTTAGTTTATTAATTAGATCTCAAAATCTGTCACTGTCATATCAACTATGGGGGTGTTTTGGGGAGTCCTGATTCTCTACTGCATCTCTCTATTTGGCTTCTTATTTGGTGGGTTATTAGAATATTTTTTTGGTTTAATTTTAATAATTTAAATTATTCATAATTTAAAATTTGTTGAGTATATTATATTTATAAAAAATCAAGTCGAACAGATATCGAAAATCACGTATTCGGATCATTGAACTAAAATTTTTTTTAAAAATAAAATTGTTTATTAATTTTTTTAATAAACAATTTTTAGTTTGATGATTCAAACACGTGATTTTCGATATCCGATTAATTTGATTTTTTATAGATATAATATATTCGATAAATTTTAAAATGTGAATGATTCGCATCATTAAAATTGAGCTTAAAAGTAGATCCAATAACCTATCAAGTTAGCAGCCAAGTAGAGAGATCCAATAAAAAGATCCTTGCTAGTGTTTTCAAAAGATTGTCAAAAATTAAGTTTTTTAATTTTTTTAACTTTATTATATAGGAAGTGATATGATTCAAAATTAATTAAAAAATCAACTGTTAACTTTTTTTTGATAGGTTCCCAAATCGTCTCTGTATGTTATAATTTGGACTAGTGGTAGAGGATTTTTTTTTTCGTACAAGACTAGTCGTAGAGATTGACATGTAAAAATCGGTGGGTGGGTGGGTGAGTGTTCAATCAAGGGCAACTTGGACCGAATGGTGAGAGAGAGAATCTTTTGGCGTCCGTGGGGGTTATTTGTGAAAATAAAAATATTTGGTAGTTCAAAATTTTGTGATTTAAATGATTTAAATTTGTTAAAATGACGTTATTTTATATTCAAAATTTGTCAAAACGACGTCGTTTTGAGTGATTTGAGCCATTTGGACCATAAAATTTGAAATACCTAGTATTGTTGTTATGAAAAAAGTTTATGAATTTTAAATAAATTATTAAATTTTTTATATGACATGAAATCTATATAAATCACATATTTTTGAGTTTTATATTTATGTGAGAGATTTAATAAAAAATTAATAATTTATTTAGAATCTCTGAGCATAACCCGCTTACTTATTTTATTCACAGAAATGATATTGTCCTCTTTTCTTTTTTAATTTATACAACCCTAATAGGCATATATCAGTCAAAGATCAAAAGAAAAAAAAAATCACAAAAAAGCGACCAATCACAATACATTAGGATGGATGGGAGTTCCAAAAAAAGTCCCAACCTTTTTCCTTCCATGTAGCTTCCTTACATCCAACTTTGTGATCTGTGCGTGGGTTACCTACCTCCACTATTGTTACAGTTCAAAAGCAGAGAGAGAAAGTTGTCCATTTTGTTTGGTTGAATTTAAAATTAAAAGAAAGAATTTGTTATTTTTTAAGAGAAAAGGTAGAAATTCAAAAAAATTATCCAAAAATGTATCCTAAAATGTGATTTGTAGTTCAGTTTTAATTTTTGTATAGTGGAACCTACAATTATAATGAATCTCCATCCCACATTACTTTTTCTGAGTATTTTTCTATGTATAATGTATCTAGTATTGTTGTTTTTTAAAAAATACTAAAAACTAGTTTCGTAAAATAAATTATGTGATTATTTTTCAACTTGGACCGAATGGAGAGAGAGAATTTTTTGGCGTCCGTGGTGGTTATTTATGAAAAAAGTTATTGATTTTAAATAAATTATTAAATTTTTTTATATGGGATAGAATCCATATAAATCACATGTTTTTGAGTTTTATATTTATGTGAGAGATTTAATAAAAAATTTAATAATTTATTTAGAATCTCTAGCTTAACTCGGTTACTTATTTCATTCACAGAAATGATATAGACTTCTTTTTTTTCTTTTTTTTTTAATTTTTACAACCCTAATAGACATATATCAGTCAAAAAAATCAGTCAAATAAAAAAAAAAAAAAAAAACCACAAAAAAGTGACCAATCACAATACATTAGAATGGATGGGAGTTCCAAAAAAAATTCCCAACCTTTTTCCTTCCATGTAGCTTCCTCACATCCAACTTTATGTGATTTGTGTGTGGGTTACCTACCTCCATTATTGTTACAGTTCAAAAGCAGAGAGACAAAGTTGTCCATTTTGTTTGGTTGAATTTAAAATAAAAAGAGAGAATTTGTTATTTTTTAAGAGAAAAAGGTAGAAATTCAAAAAAATTGTCCAAAAATGTATCCTAAAATGTGATTTGTAGTTCAGTTTTAATTTTTGTATAGTGGAACCTACAATTATAATGAATCTCCATCCCACATTACTTTTTCTGAGTATTTTTCTATGTATAATGTATCTAGTATTGTTGTTTTTTAAAAAATACTAAAAACTAGTTTCGTAAAATAAATTATGTGATTATTTTTCAACTTGGACCGAATGGAGAGAGAGAATTTTTTGGCGTCCGTGGTG